AAATGAAACCCTGAAAGCAGACTTAGAGGGAGTCTGACAAGCACACCAGGAAAATGGCTTCCAGCACAGGTAGTAAAGAAATTTCAAAATTAAAGTCACTATGCTGCATTAGATTTCTTCACATTGAGTTACTCATGAGGCAAAAAAAAATCAACCAAGGTTCAAAAAGAATGGGTGACATTATTTCTTTATTAAGTAATTGGAGATCATTTTCTGATTTAGATTCCAAGTGATCACAAAGATTTGTCCTTTTGAAACTCACTGTAGAGTTTTATTCTACATTGTATGTTACCATCATAAGGTCATTCATTGGTTCACAAAAAACATGCAAACTCATTGTTAGATTTCAGCTCAATGCAGCTCAGTTTTCACAAACCTATGCTCTACCAAGCCTGATTTTTATCCAGTAAGACAGAGCAGGTTTCTATCACCCATCCCTTAAAATATGTCACCAAATGCTCCACTAACAACAGCATCATAGGGTGTTTGTTCAGACTTCAGGAGTTCACTTTTAAGCACCAGATACCGCTTGTACTAATTCTAGAGTGCAGTTATACCATGCCTTTCTAACTTGTTAAGAAGCAGTGGAGTGAGTGCAAGACAATTAACTATACGTTACTAAGATTCTTGGAACAGCATAAAGGGAAAAGTTATTGTAGAGAAAATTACAACTGAAGACAGTCCACTTTGGGGCTGAATATATAAAAAGAGTCGAATCCTATGTCACATTATTATTGTCTGGGTACTAAAAGCAGAATTCCAAAAACTCTTAGAAAGTTGCAAATTGGACATTAGTCTTACCTAGCCTTCACAGGTAGTCTTAAATTTGAGTCCTGTTTAGATTAGAGAGATGAGGTTGATGGAAAGTATCATTGGGTGGGTAAGTTCAAACATTTTTTCATATTTTACTACCTGGGACCAGATTCCTCAGGACATGGCTGCTCCATTGGGACCACAGGGTAGTAAGCTTTGACACCAATGGGATACCACTGCTAATAGAAACATGAGAGAAGTGTGGAACTATGCTGAGAAAGAGAGCAAAAAGAGTCAGGAATAGGGTGTCAGTAAAACTGCCTGGATATAGCAAGAGAAATCCCAGTTTTCAAGTTTTCAAATGGATTGTGGACTCACTCAAATACTTACAAACAAAAGTGCTGATATTAACATAAGTAAAACAGCCCTAAGTAGAATAAATCAAAGGTTATTTGAAAGGAGAAGCCACTGTTTAGGCCCAACTGATTATGGCTACATTATTGCCATACTGTCCAACTTTTTTAACGAAGCCAGAAATTTAATTTGTATGTGTAATTTAATTTTTAAATAGAACTAATTCAATTTAAAAAAAAATTCCCCCTGCAGACCAAGTACAGTACCTGCCCTGCCAGTTTCCAGCCTCTGGTTGGTTCTTCTTCACCAGTCCAGGCAGGCAGCTGAGCAAAGCCCTCCCTTCTGGGACAAATGGCTTTCCTAAATCAGTCTACAGGAGGCCACGAACCTCAGATTCTTTCCAACTGGCACCATACTATCTGTAGTCAGTGCTGCTACTCACTAAAGGGACATTGGCGGTCATGACTCTTAACAGAACAAGCCCGCTGAAATGTAACAGAACTAGTCATTTTTCCTTTCTTTGCATATTTTTACATTAACTAGAAATGTTTTTAAGTTAAATTAAGCATACAAGCCAAAGCTACTCCAACTTTACACAAGATGTATCTTTGATACAATTTTCCTTCCGGCGATTTGTCTTATTATATACAGCTTCAAACAAATCAAGACGAGTGGTTTGTTTGATTAACTATGAAAAACCATTTTTAATAGAATATAAAATTAAAGGCAAGTTGGAAATATTGGTTAGTAGCAGCATTCCTGTCTAGTATCCCTGAGGCTATAACTGTTAGGATCTTGTACATGCACAGCTAGGGATTTTGCATCTTACATCATCAGTGGGTATTGGGGACTACGTACCCGCTGCATGGTCATGCCATCTGTGCCTTTAAAAAGCCAGACACGGACCCCACCCACCCTCTCAGCTCTGCTCCCGCCATCTTTCTTTCTCTCCAGGCCCGGCTCTCCTCTCCCCGGTCCCCTCCTTCCTTCTAATAAAGCTCTTTGTAACTCTGGTAGTCGTGGCCATGGCCCGTGACTTTTCCACCGGTAACCAATGCCACCACCAGTGCTGTTTACCTATCTTCCAATAACAACAATAACAACAAAACTACAAGATCAAAGAAGGAAAAAATAAGAAGTGGAGAGGACACAGGGGGAAATGAATAGATGCTAGAGATGCCCTTTCAGTAAAATAGTCACTTTACTTACCACTCTTATACAAATAATACATACAAAGTACAGACATCCTTTGACTGACAATTACATCAAGATTAATAAACTCAATGTTGGGGGTTTAATATAGTTAAACTATTCTTTGGGTTCACTTATCAAAAATCTACTGTTCTCAGAGTTCAGGAAGGCCATGGGTGTATATATAAAAAAAATACATCCTTCTGCCCACGTGCAACTGGAGGAATTGATACTTCCTCTTCAAATCCTTAAGTTTAAAATCCAGTTTTATCAGAAGTAAATAAAACCTGCACAATGGCTTTGAGAACTCAACGAGAGACTCTTGCCTTGGAAAAATTTGCATTCTATTCAGTAAAATAATAAATGAATATAAAACAAGGCTAGAAGATAACTTAAGACAACATAAGTCTTAATGCATGTGAAAGCTGTCAGGATGAGCATGGAATCCTTTTTGCCAAGCCCTAAATAAATAACAAGATCCACTCACAGAAGACTGTCAGAACCACTTTATAAAAACAAAAAGTAGCTGGGTGGTGGTGGGTGGCGGCGGCGGCGGTGGCGGCGCACGCCTTTAATCCCAGCACTCGGGAGGCAGAGGCAGGCGGATCTCTGTGAGTTCGAGGCCAGCCTGGTCTACAGAGCGAGATCCAGGAAAGGCGCAAAGCTACACAGAGAAACCCTGTCTCGAAAAACCAAAAAAAAAAAAAAAAAAAAAGTAAGTAAAAACTTCTGTAAGGATATCTGCATAACCATTGTCTATCAAACCTATTCATAGGCCACTCTTGGTATTGAACTTTGTATACAAAATTCGTTTCAAAATATCACATTTAACCACTTTACCTTTAAAAACTTCACTTACCTTGAAATAGTAATTGACCATGGAGTGCATTTTCCTGTTGCAATACTACGTTAACCCCATGTTAACAATATTTAGATAATCCTTCTCTCACTGTTTGACACCTGGTATCTAATAGAACCTGAAACCAGATCTCCTTTAACTACAATTGGCAGCTTCTAGAATATGATACAGTACCAACATTGAGCCTTCTGCACGCTCCACATCCCTGGCTTAATTTCTTAATTTCTGTTCTCAAGTCACGGCTGTTCTTTTTGATAGATTCCCTGCCGACTTTGTGATATGATGTGGGTACTGCCACCTTTAAAGGGACCTTACCTCCAGAGTCTGTCTCCATGTTCAGTGCATTAAGGTTTTCTTGAGATGTTTTAGTGGAAATTTAGAAGAGATTTTAGTTGTCAAGTGGTGTATCTTTTGGACTTTTCCCACTTCAGACTCCACTTGGTTGGTGATTCTCTAAAAGTTTTTATCAGCTCCTCTAAGAACACTATTTTCCCCAGTTCTCACTCAGCCCAGGGGACCAGGTGTTTAAAATATCGTCTTAAAGACCTGGGGTAACATGTATTCCTGGCTTTTCTTCATGTACATGAACTGCTACTTAAAACCAAGCACCTCATCTGCTTTTACTGTTTTTAAGTAACGCATCCCCTTGCTCAGATTTTCTCACTTCCTGTAATATGTACTTGCACAATCTGTGACATACACTCTTCTAGTATCTATTTATAAAAGTAGAGCCCTTTTATCAGGCTGACATGCAAGTTTAAATTCTATTTCCACAAAGAAAAATGTTTTCCTTTACCTTTTGGTAACTGGCTTAGGAAACAAAGATTTTTGTTTTCTGTCTACACTTTTGTGTCTGAGTGAACTTGCCACTTCCTATCACGGCCAGTACTCAGTTGACAAGTCTAGCTTGGTTTGCCTATATAATCTCCAGAGGCTTCTACAGCTTAGATTCCTATATGGCAAATCACTTTTCTTGTACTTATGTAAACAAAGCACATCTAATACCACATATTTTGCAAATAAACTGGGTCTGCTTTTGTTAAAATTCTATGACTACATTTTTTTTATTTTTATTTTATTATTGCTACAAGTGTACATCCATTTCTGCCATGATGTGTAATCGGAGGCTAGAGGACAACTTTGATGAGTTAGTTCTCATTTAACCATAACATGGCTTCTGGGTATCAAACTCAAGGCTCAGGCTTTTATCTACATCTGGCATCTGTTTTTATCTGCTGAGCTATCCCACCCACCATAAAAATTTAAAGAAAAACTATAATATATGCTATTAGATTGGTTGTTCCTTATTTTCAGTGCTTAAAAGTATTGATCTGTAGATTAGACTACATCTTAAATCCTTCAAAATTACTATAATCTTTCTCCCACAGAATTTGCATTTCCTAAAACTTTGTAAACTGAAGCCAACTAACTTAATATAAACCTCACCAGAACTCACCTATGTAAGTATTCTCATCTTGGACTTCTAACCAGCAGAACTGACAGAAATAAACTTGCTTATAAGCTTCCTAGTACTCACCAATTTGTAACAGGAGTCCCAATGTAGACAAAAGCCACTGTGCAATGTGTGTAATATAAATTAAAACTACACACCCGTCAGAGCTGCTACAATTTTACAAATTAAAATAATAAAACCAAATGTTCCTTAGAATGCAAACAGAATTACTTTCATACACTCTTAGTGAAAATGTAAAATAGTGTGATCATTCTACCATTGTTTATTTAGTTTGTTTTTTGAAGTTAAACATACACTTGCCATTTGACCCATCAATCAAACATCTAAGTGTTTTTCCCAGAAGAAAATGAAAACTCATACACATTTAAAAAATGTTTACAACTATTCAAAGAAATTTTATTTATAGTAATCCCCAAAGTAGACATATCAAAATGTGCTTCAATAAGTAAACAGCTATACAAAGTATGGGGCATCCAGACCATTCAGCAGTAAACACATACAACATACTATGACTTGAACAGATCATAAGGATAGTACACTGAGTGGGGTTAAAAAAAAAAACAACTCCAAAGGTTATTTCTTGTATGCTTCTACTTATATAACATTCTTGGTGACAAAACTATAAAGTTGAGACTAGTTGGTTAGGGGTGGCAGGACACGGTAACTGGATCAAGAAGACCTCTGTGGTACTGAAGTAGTTCTATATCCTGGCTGTAGCAATTACATGAATCTGTACACATGATAAAATAACATGGAACTACATATATACCAATTACCAAATTCCTGCTTTTGCTATATTACACTATGTTAGATGTAACCACTGCAGAAACTGGGTGTCTAGTATAGAGTATATGTTTATATTAGCTTTGCAACTTCGTACACAATCTGTAATTATCTCAGAATAAAAATTTACAAGTAAATATTGAATAATAAACAATAAGCTTCTAAATGACTACTGTCGGGAAATATCTTATCTACTAAAGTAGGTCAGCTTGCTTTAGAACTTTTTTTTTTGTTTTGTTTTGTTTAACAGACATTTAGTACTTTAGTTGAACAACCTCTATACACAATGATTTGTTTTGCTGAATAGAAAAGAATTCTAGGTCCCAAGATTTTGAGTCTAGTATTTTCTGGAAATCAATAAAATCATCCTTTAAAAATCGGAAGAGAAAAAAAAAAAAAGTTTAAAGGCATCAGTTAGTTTTGTTTTTTTTTAAATCAAGCCTGCTAGCCCAGATCTGTGATAAGGGCAATTATCTATTTCTTCCATACTAAAATGTACTGTGGGAAACTAGTTCAAGGAATGGCACAAACAAAAATGTGGCGGTATGTGTGGCCTTTGTGAAATGTCAACAACTCCCAGGTAATATACCAGGGACAAGTAACCCTAGCCACTACCTAAGGGAAGACTGTAAACAATGAAGTCATACTGCCAACTGACTTTTCTTACCTCCAAGATGAACTGACTGGTCTAGGATTTACCTTTAACTACCCAGCCACACTTTTTATGTGGCTAGTGGATAGAAGCTTCATAGTGATTGCATACTAACTTCATCACAACTTTTTAAGTTTACTTGGTTGGTATTAACTTGAACCCCACATGGCACCCATCACTAGTTTACAAACCTTAAGGGAAACAATTTGCCCTTTCAAGGGCAACCTTACCATACCACCCCTAAACATGCCCCACCCCATCCAATTTTCAATCTCCAATTTCAAAATACACAGGTGCAAATACCCATTACTTGGCATCAAACTCATACTCCAGAGATCTAACAGAAAATGAAACCTCTTCCAATTTTACCTGATTCTTCTGAAAATGGGACACTGGATTCAATTTTCAAAATGTGGGTTGTAGCTGATCTCTTTTCTACGCATGTTCACAAACAGGTTGAAAAGCTTCTCTTCCTATTCATTTCTAAGCAAAACCCAACTCTAAAAGTTTGTACTCAAACTCCCAAGCAGTCACTTCAGCAAACTAGAAGACTGCATCATCCCAATAAAGCTGTAGGTTCTATCACATGCACCAAACACATCTACAGGGCTAGTCCTAGTCCTTTTACAGGATTTTACACACAGGGCACCACATGGTGTTAACACCATACACTTAGACCCCCTAAGTAGGTAATGCAAAGACAAAAAGGTTATCAGAAACAAGACACACCATCACTTGTAGCCATCAAACATTATTGCACTTTAACCGCTATAATTCCATAAAGCTTCATGACAATCTGCAGACTTATTTTAACAGACAAATAACACCTTTAAGCAGACATGACGTTCCTAAATTGTTTATTGGGTATGAATTTTACAAACATTACGTGTATTAGCGGTAACGGTGGAGCTGCAGAGTATTGCGCCTTCTCCAGGCTGCACGGCGAGAGCCACCAATAGTGTGGTGGAACTTGTGGCCCTTTCCAAGGCCACGGCTCTTGCGGCCAGCAGATGTCAGCCCACGCATCTCTCTGTGCTTGTGGACTGGTTTGGTGATCCATTGGGTGTCAGGGTTTCTTCTGATAGCTTTATGGAATGGATCAATGAGGATAACCTCAAAAAATTTGTATGTGGAATCTTCGCCAACCCAGTAAGAATTCAGGACTCTCAGAGCCCCACAATGGCGTCCAGCTCTCTCCTCAGCAACAGACTGAAGGCTTCGGGCAAACTTTAGCTGGTTAACACCATGATGGACAGGCTTGCCATAAGTTGCACCCTTAGGAACTGGGCGTTTGTGGCCACCACGGCGGACACGAATCCTGTATATGACATAACCTTGCTGCTTGGCCTTGTATCCCATCCTTCGCGCTTTGTCAGGCCGGGTGGGGCGGGGAGCCCTGTGCAGCGCCGAGAGCTGGCGGTACTGCCAGCAGCGGACCCTCAGGAGAAAGCGCATCACGTCCGACTGCTTCTTCCTCCATAGCTCCTGGATGTATTTGTATGCACCCATCTTGGCTCACCTGATGGCTGCCGTCAGAGGAAAGGCTTTAGAACTTCTTGTTTGTGGTTTATAGAAGGAAACAGGTTTGTAAAAACTTTGCTTAGTGCTTACAATCTTCTAGTTGAGAAAATTTACTGTTACTATAGTGCAACACAAAATTAGACAGAAATGCTTTGTAAATGCGTCAAAAATTAACATACTTAAAATGTATCTAGATTTTAATGTATACTGCTTTCTCTCAGAAATTAAACTCACTGAATAATTCTGGATAAATCCAAAGACACAAGCTTAAGTTTAAGGAATATATCTCTTCAATCTATTTAATACAGTATGATTCCATTTTGGATATACTAAGCACAACAGCAGACAGAGAAGAAAATTAAGAAGCCATTTACAATGAATAAAACATAATTCCTAAAAAAAAAAAAAGTAAAATGCACACGTTGCTCATACAGTCAATGTTTTAATAATCCACCATATAAACTAATATATACAAAATGTCTTAATGATCTGTTGCCACTTAAATTAACACATCATATAATTCTTAAACATGTGTTGACTTCTAACCTCTGCTCTTCTTCAGAATTACCTGTAAGAGAGGAAATGAAGATATATATTGCACCAATGGAAAATAAAAAATTACTGAGCTGCAGTATAAGTATAAGTGGCCTAGATTTCCTATTTACTTCTCTCAATGAATGTGAAACCTCCCTAGATTATCACACCTGGTTTCTGAGTCACTTCATTCCCGAACCTTGCCAATTACAATCCAAGTATCAAAACTGTTGATTTCAAACCAGGTTTTAGGGTTTTTGTTTTCTTTCCCTCCAAACAAATTTATGGTCTAGGGTGTTTAAAAAAAAACTCGGGAGGCAGAGCCAGGCGGATCTCTGTGAGTTCGAGGCCAGCCTGGGCTACCAAGTGAGTTCCAGGAAAGGCGCAAAACTACACAGAGAAACCCTGTCTCGAAAAACCAAAAAAAAAAAAAAAAAAAAAAAAATGTTCGGCCGGGCGGTGGTGGCGCACGCCTTTAATCCCAGCACTCGGGAGGCAGAGCCAGGCCGATCTCTGTGAGTTCGAGGCCAGCCTGGGCTACCAAGTGAGTTCCAGGAAAGGCGCAAAGCTACACAGAGAAACCCTGTCTCGAAAAACCAAAAAAAAAAAAAAAAAAAAAAAAAAAAATGTTCTTAACGTCAAAAAAAAAAAACCTGTAAAGTAGTATCAAGTAGTATAAATCCATTGCAATGTAAAAGTCTCACAATGGAGCTGGAATTATGACTGCTAGAGGTCAAGACTGGTCATCTTACACTGAATAACTTCATATACAATTTTCAAAGCATAAAACGTTGCAGAAATAAGACAAAGGGAAATATTTAGTTGTAAAAATGCTGGAAGGATAAGGCCTAAATTATCTCCAAAAAATAAATAAAAATTAAAATAAATGTTTATAAGAATTTAGCTACTACAGTTTAAAAAGAAAAATGGCCCCAGGCCCCATGGGTTGGCTCAGTGGGCGCAGACACTAAGTGCTAAGTTGGACAGCCTGAGTTTGACCCCACATGGTGGAGAAAACCAATTGCCAAAAGCTGCCCTGACCTCCACAGGTATGCTGAGACAAATGCACACACTTTCATGTGTACACACACACACACACACACACACACACACGGACGGACGGACGGACGGACGCACGCACGCACGCACGCGCGCGCACATACATGGGTGCATAATAAAGGCAATAAAAAATTAGGAAAAACAAAGGTCTAAATGTAAAACACTCACATATACTTTTCATGCTTTTAATCATTGCATTACTTTCATAAAAATACTTATTTGGACTTTAACAGTTGTGGTGTTTCTCACCGAAGAAGATTAAAAAGTCCCATAAAATTGCTGGGGCAGAGATGATAACTTAGCTATCACAAGCAGGTCTGTAACCCAGGCTAGCACTGCTCTGTGCAAAGTGATATTAATATGAGAACTATAAAATCATGTGCTTAACAAGTTTAAAAAATGCTGAATATGTTGTGTATTTAAATACATCTCCAAAATATTGTTAAATAAAAGTCAACAATCTTCCTTACTGGTACATTTCTCATAATCTTTCCTGACTTCAACCACGATTCACCTCTTCTTGCACTATGTTAGGCTATAGGTATTTCAAAATAAAAATCTTTAAAAAGTATTTACATCAGACAAAGACAATAATCACAGTAGTATTTTTAAAGTTAAGTTGCTTAAAGAGAGAATTTACATTTTACCTTTGCTGCAGCCAGTATATGATCCTTTTTGATAACTCTAGATTTACTTTCACAAGCATTTATCCTGGACTCTTCTGCCAATCGATGAACAAAGAGTAAGCAATTCAAATGAATCTTTAAAAGCAAAGCACATGTATCATTAGATAATACATAAATTAAATATATATATGAACCCCTTTTAACATATATTTGTTATACACAGTGTACAAATGACGGATCTTTAGGAAATTTATTACCCAGAACTTTCTCATCCACAGCTTCTCCACATGTGTGAGGGCATTACCCACAATCAGTTAAAAAGTACCTTTCACAATTTCATTTCTTTTATTATTTACATGAGTTATCAAGTACTCCAAACAATAATTTGACTCAGAAGATTCAGGGCATTGTGCTAAACATAAAGAAGACAAAAGCCTCCTGATTCTAATTCCCAGACTAATAGGACAATCACCCCATAAAGCTACACACTATGCTAGGAGATAACATCAAAAATGAAACAACATCGGGAATAGTGTTAGCATCTCAATTAACTAACTGGTATGTTAGCATCTCAATTACTAACTGGTATGTTAGCATCTCAATTACTAACTGGTATGTTAGCATCTCAATAACTAACTGGTATAGTGTTCAGAAAAAAGAATAAAATATACTGCTTTAAATGGAAAGAACTTTGTTGATGACGGGGAATACTTCATTGGGTAAGATTATGAAGTTAATGGAGAGCAGAAAAATATAAGCAAGGAAATGGCATCAATTAACAAAAGACTATGGACCCTAGAGATCAAAAAAAGAAAAAGTAGACAATTTTATGATAGTCAAGAAAAACAGTATCTGGAGACATGGCTCAGTGCTTAAGAGCATTTGCTGCTCTTCTTGCTGACCAGAATCCTTAGAATCCACTATCAGGCAGCCCACAACCACCTGTAACTCAACATACAAGGGATCTAACTTCTTTTGGCTTCTATAGGCACCCACACACATTATGACCTTCCCTCACAAATACACATAAATAAAAATGATTTTTAAATAAATCTTAAAGCGAGGGTGGCCTACAGCTTTAATCTCGGCCCTGAGAAGCAAAGTCAGGTAGATCTCTGAGTTCAAGACCAGCCTGGTCTACATAGTGAGTTCCAGGCCGGCCAGCGCGCTACAAAGTGAAGTTCTGTCTCAAAGCAAAGAAAACAGAAACCTTGCAAGGAGAATAACTCCAATTCTGCACCTCCATCTGGAAAAGAGGCATGCATTTTCAGAACAGAGGAAAAGGCAGTGCTCCTGTGGTTCAACCTGGGGGCATCATGTTGCCAAACTGAATTTACTTGGGAGACAGAAACATACAGTTAGTTGCTTGACTGGGGCCAAGGATTGGGAAGGCGTTTTATTTCGGGTAAGTATGAGTCTGATAAACAACAGTCTTGAAAGGTTAAAAACTTGAAGAGTGCTCTATCACCTGCCTAGGAAAATGCATTCCCCAACAACAGGATCACTTTTGAATCCCAGACCTTTAGTAAGGGACCTAGTGCAGCAGCGACGGTGAAACGTATTCATAAAGGGGTTAGAGGAAGCAGGAAGCCAAATCTGATTTTAGACAATAGGAGGATATATATCCTTCCTTCTCAAGTAAACTAATCACGATCCCGGACAGTTCTGAACCGCTAGTCCTGGAAACAATGAGGAGCAGGGCTTCCCTTAAGAAGCCCCGGGCCTTCCGCGGCCCCCGGGGTCCCGGACCCATCATAGCTACCGGGGGCCGAGGACACGAAGAGACGCAGGCCGGGCCGTGTCCCAGGCCTGGCTCCTCACTCCCGGGCCAGGACAGCCGGACTCACCAGGAGGTCGCAGTCCGTCTCCAGACGAAGGTGCGGCTTCTTCTGCTTGAAGGTGCGCCTGAGGAAGGCTCGGGGCGCCTTGCGCTTGATCCGCTTCGAGACGGTGGTGGAGACGGCCATCTTCGCGGCGGGTCCACGGCACTCGCCGCAGTCCGGGCTCACCCCGCGGTCGCTGCCCGGCTCCCCGGCTGCCCGGCAGAGGAACTCAGGAGGAAACCTCCCCCAGGACGACACGACGACTCCGCTCGCCAGATCCCAGCGCCCTCGGTTTGAATCTGCCGCCCGCCAGCGCGTTTGGGCGCACGGCAGTGACGTCACAGAAAGCCACGCCCACCGCACCGGACGCGCCGGCTGGAGGGAATCCCGGGCCAAGGGTGTGTCCCGCGCGCGCTCCCACATCTTAAAGGCGCTGGGGTATGCTTTGTTGTTTTTGTGTTGCAATCCTCTATGTCGTTGCACCCTTGGTTTTCTAGAAAGGATAGGAAATGGTGACGTTAGTTGATATGCCCAACAAGAGCTTCATGTCATGCTTTTCCAAGCTCTCCATGGAGCAGCTGGATTCCAGTGGACTAGAAAGTAAATGAAAGAAGTTTTGTGTTTTTATCAGAATTCCTTAAGACCTGATACCTTACTCGCAAAATTTTCTAAACAGCAAGTAACTTGCACTTTTATGTAATCGCATTTGGCTTTGTACGTGATTTTTCTCACATCACTTTTTTTTTTTTTTACAAATGGCCGCCCTTTTGAGGCTCCCTTCCTTAACTTCCCTGTAACTTTCAAATATACGTTATTTTTTCTTTTGTTGGAAATAGGTTTTTTTTATGAAATATATTCTGATTACAATTTCCCCTCCCCCAATTCCTCCAAGATCTTTCCCCACCTATCTCAATCTACTCCCTTTCTGTCTCTCCTTAGAAAACAAACAGGAATCTAAAGAATAGTAATAAAATAATATAAAACAAAACAAAACAAATCAGAAGAGGACAAAACAGAAGAAAAAGAGCAAAAAAAAGGCATATAGATGCAGAGATAGACACATTCGCACACACAGAAATCTCATAAAAACACAAAAGTGGAAGCCATAATATATGCTAAGGACCAGCAAGGTTTGTGTGTTTGTTTGTTTTTAAATGTCCTGACAAAACACTGCGAGACAAAGAATCTCCAAAAATGCCATTGAATTCTTGTTGTGTTGGCCACCTACTGCTGAGACTGGGCAGGCCTTAATTGTGGTTTGTATCCCCATTAAAACACTGTTAGAGAAAACTAATTTTTTTTTCATTTGCAACTGACTATCAATTGGAAATAGCTTCTAGGTTAGGGATGGGGAATTGTGACCACTTCTCTCAGTGCTGGTACTCCATCTGACACAGACTCATGGTGGCCCTGTGCATGCTGTCCGTTTCTGTGAGTTCATAAGTGCCTTACTCCTGCTGTGTTTCAAAAGCCTTATTTCCTTGCTATCCCCCATCCCCTCTGACTTGCGAAGTTTCTGCATCCTTTCCTCTGGGGTTCCTTGGAAATGGAGGGATTTAATGAAGACATCCCATTTTAGGACTGAGTGTACCAACATCTCTCACACTCTGCAAATTGTCCAGCTGTGAGGCTCTGTATTTGTTTCTATGTACTGTAAGAGGAAGCTTCTCTGGGGATGACTGAGAAAGGTACTGGTCTATGAGTATAACAGACTGTCATTAGGGGTTACTTTATGGCAATGTTCCTTTAGCAGAACAGTAGTATTTGGTTTTCCTTTAGATCCCCGGCCTGTCTGATCTTGGGTTCTTTGACACCCAGGCGATGTTGGGGATGAGTTGTGTCTCACAGCGTGGGTCTTAAGTCTAATCAGTTGGTTGTTGGTTATGCCCACAAGCTTTGTCATCCTGGCACTAGACTTGCAGGCAGATCATCTTTGCAGATTAAAGAGTTGGTAGCTGGGTTGATGTTTACCTTTCTTCCAACACCATGAACGCTAGGCTATAGAGATGAAGGATCTAGTTAGGTACCAGCTCAACTTCTCGTGTTTAATGCATTGTGTGGGTTATGTGGGTGTTATCCTCAGCAATAGGGCCTTACCATCAGTTTGTGGAGAACATCCAATAGCTTTGGCAATTTCCTGGTTGTTTGGGTGTTCCCATGGGACCTCTTTGGCCATCAGTTGATTAGATGTAAGGCATTCCCAGAATTGGAGGCTTCATTTGATGATGAGAGCTGTCCAGTTGGGTTCAGTCTCTGTTGTTCTTTGAGTATTCCTTTTAGATCATCTTCCTATATGTGTATATTTTAGGAAGCTTCTACTGTATTAAGTTTCCATAGTACTCTCAAATAGCCCTTAGTTTTAGCTGTCCCTCCCTGAATTCCCTCCCTAGATCCCCCCTTTCCCATCCTCCCCCTATTTGATCCTCCCATTCCAGTCCTCCACTCATCCATCCATAACTATTCTGTTCCTCCTTCCTAGGCTAAGCCAATCCTTCACCCCAGTCCCTTACTATGTACTTAACCTCTGTGGTTATGTGGATTGTAGCCTACTTACTGAATACTTAGCTTCTAAATCTATATATAAGAGAATGCATACAATATTTATCTTTTTGGTTCTGGGTTATCTCACTCAGGATGACTTATTTTTCTAATACAATCCATTTACCTAAAATTTTCATGATTTATTTTTAACAGCTGAGTAATATTTCATTGTGTAAATGTATCACATTTTGTTTATCCATTCATCTGTTTACGGGCGTCTAAGTTGTTTCCTCTTTCTGGATATTATGAATAGAGCAGAAATGAATTTGTTGAGCAAGTGTCTCTGTGTTGGGATGAAGCAGCCTTTGGGTCTATGCCCAAGAGTGATATACTGGATCTTGAAGTTGATCCATTCCCACATTCCCAAGAAACAACCACACTGCTTTCCAGAGTGGCTGTACAAGTTTTCAGTCCCACCAGCAATGGATGAGTGTTCTCCTTACTCCACATCATCACCAGCATGAGCTATTCTTGTTTTGTGGATCTTAGCCATTGAGACCTGTAGAGGACAAAAGGTCCACGTGCTCACAGACAGCACTAGAGAAACCAGAATTGTTAAACATGCATGCCTTTTTATCTAGGGAAAGATATTGACACCTGTTCATGTGGAAAGGTGGAATAGAGAATGGTTAATAACCTGGGTATCGTTTTGCTACTCTATGGAGCCAGCAGCCTTCACCAGAATCCCCCAAACTCATGAGTATTGTTTCTCAACCAATAAAAACAATCCTTATGAAAGAGGTCCCATGTACTTTGCAAAAGAGTTTGCTATTCTGCTTATTACAAACCCTTCCTCCCTAGGCCCCTGTCCTAAGCACTGTTTTTCAGTCGATAGAACCCATTCTTGGAGAAAAGTTCATAGGTGCTTTGCGAAAGAGATGTACTTTGCAAAGAAGTTTAGATGTTGCTATGCGTAAAGCTTTGTTGTGGTAACTGTCAGGTGGAAACTTTTTTCCCAAAGCTTTACTGTGTTTAAATATATAAAAAATAAACCACTTGTCATCAGATTCTAGAAGTCTGAATGAGCCTGGCTAAGTCATACTGAACCAAGTTCTCATTCTTGGCGCTCCATGGATCATGTCACTGATGGTCATGATTTTCATTTCCCTGATGGCTAAGGATGCTGAACATTTCTTTAAGTGCTTCTCAGACATTCATGTTTCCTCTTTTGAGACTTCTCTACTTGGATTCGTACACCAATTTTTAATTTGGTTATTTTTTTCTTGATAGCCAGGGTTTTTTTTTTTTTTTTTGAGTTCCTTATATTTTTTAGATATTTCCTTCTCTCAGGAGTGTCTTTTGAAAGCATGAACTTGCCTCTACTATCAACCATTGTACTTTAAAGAAAACCTGGAAACAATTGGCTAAAATAATTGTTGACACTTTTTCCCCGTTCTCTTTTGAAGCTATAACAATATCTTGTGTTTTCTCTCTTTGTGAAAATTATTTTTATTAAAACAACCAATTGTTAATTCTCGGGCCCCACTTACATGACCAGCCAGACATGATTATTAGGTTTTATGGTTGTTTTCACCAAGAAAACATTTCCCTTAATTGGGTATAATTCTCTTTTGGTTTCATTATTACCTGAGGCTCTCTTTGTCTCCATTTCAGTTTCCTCTTCATCTCCTTGATCTCCAAATCTTATGATCTCCAAATCGCAGTCCACACAATTCTGTGTTTTATCTCACACAATTCTGTTTTATCTTGGATGTGATCTCATCCAGGATAACTTTAAAATGAGTTAAAAACATCTGCGGATTTTCTCCTCTGAATTTAAGGCATCTATTCTCAGTTCACAGGCTTCATCCTCTAAAAGTTCTTAGATGTCACATGATCAAAATTAGCTCTTGATCTCTCCCTACACTCCAGTCCTGACCTCTTCCTCCCTCTTTCCCATCACAGATGATGACACTCTCGTCTTTGCAAATTATGCGTGCAAATTCTGATGATCTGCTTTGCCTCTTTTACTTGTCACATTTTTAAATAATTAATTTTTATTTTATGAACACTGGGGTTTTGCCTGCATGTATGTCTGTGTGAAGGTGTCAGATGCCTGGAACAGGGTGCTGGGAATTGAACCCGAGTCCTCTGGAAGACGAGTCAGTGCTCTTCACTAGAGTCATCTCTCCAGCCCCTTCTTGTCACATCTTACAATCAATGTCCTCAAATGGATGAGCCCTGACTAACACTAGCAGACCACTCCTCCCCACGTCTCCTGCTACCGCTCTTGGCCATATCACTATCATGGCTCACCTGGATTATTATACCACCCCCAGACTATGCCTCAACATGTTTCTATTCATTTTACACAAAAAGGTGATATCTAAGTCATAGTGCATCATTCTTTTCCCATAATCCCTTCCCTTAGCTTCAAAGGGAAAAAGAGAATGAAGTTCCTGGATTGATTTATCTCAACCAAGAAGTTATAAGCAATGTTACAATAAAAACAAACACCAATTTATCCAGGTACGAAATAGATTTGCAAATCAAAAGATTTAAGTTTGATTAAATACTAAGTTAATATTTTGTCAAGTTGAAGGAGTAGATTTTTGTCAATGTTAGCAAAGAAAATGGGAGTGATAAAAAGTAACTTATTTTGAACAACTTTTAAATGGCTATTATCATTGTATGATTGGAAGGCATTTATGTTGGTGATGATTTATTTCTTTATTCCTTAAGCTGTAGGTGATTGGTTGGTATAAAGCTATCAGGAGGGAATTATCAGTGATCGATAAGTCAGCTAAGTCCTAGAACTGCAAACTTGGAGTGTGTGATCTTTTATGAACCCTTTGATGTTG